CATAGTTTGATATCAGGTAGTGTGATATCTCCAACTTTGTTCTTTCTCAAGATTGCTGAGGCTATTCAGGGTCTTTTGTGATTCCATATAAATTTTGGATTATTTGTTCTTCATCTGTGAGGTATGCCATTGGTATTTTGATAGGAATTACATTGAATCTATAGATTGCTTTGGGTAGTATGGACATTTTAATGATACTAATTTATATCTTCTTCAATTTATTTATTCATCATGTTACAACTTTTCATGTACAGATCTGATCATGTGATTTTTCTTTTTTAATTCTCACCCAAGGATATTTTTCCATTTATCTTTAGATAGAGTGGGAGGGAGGGAGAGAGAGAGGGGGAAACGTTGACATGAGAGGGACACATTGACTGGTTGCCTCCCACAGGACCCCAACCAGGGCCAGGGACAAACTGCAACCAAGGTACATGCCCATGACAGGAATCGACCTTGCAACTCTGGTCTGTGGGCTTATGCTCTAACCACTGAGCCAAGCTGGCCAGGTTGATCCTGTGATTTTTATCCTTTATTTTGTTTATGTAATGTGTCATTTTTTTTACTGATTTGAGAATATCATACTAACATTGCATCCCTGGGATAAATCCCACTTGATCATGGTGAATGATCTTTTTGTATTGCTGGATCCAATTGGCTAATATTTTGTTGAGGATTTTAGCATCTGTATTCATCAAGGATATTGCTCTATAATTTTCTTTCTTTGTAGTGTCTTTATCTGGTTTTGGAATTAGGATAATGCTGGCCTCATAAAATGAGCTTAGAAGTATTCCCTCCTCTTGAAATTTTTGGAATAGTTTGAGAAGGATAGGTGTTATTATTTCTTGAGTGTTTGGTAAAATTAGCCTGGGAAGCCATCTGGTCCAGGACATTTGATTCCTGGAGGTTTTTTTTATTATTACTGCTTTGATTTTATTAGTTGTAATTGGTCTATTCAGATTTCCTGATTCTTCCTGATTCAGTTTTAGAAGAGTGTATAGTGTCTAGGAATTTATCCATTTCACCCAGGTTGTCGAATTTATTGGCATATAATTGTTTATACTATTTTATTACAATCCTTTGTACTTCTGTGATGTCAGTTGTTACTTCTCTTTCATTTTTTATTTATTTGAGTCCTCACTCTATGTTTCTTGATGAGTCTGGCCAAAGATTCATCAGTCTTGTTTATCTTGTCAAAGAACCAGCTATCCTTGTTTTTTCATTGCTTGATAGCTCATTTCTTTTGAGTACTGAATAATCATTGTCTGAAGCTGTTATAAATATCTATAATCAGATTTATGGATAGATATAAGTTTTCATATAGTCTTGGTAAATACCAAGGAATGTGGTTGTTGGATCATGTAAGAATATGTTTAGTTTTATAAGAAACTGCCAAACTGACATGTATCTAACTATGGACATTGCCCTAGAGGGTGAAAGCCTCTGGGGCACCAAATTTAAAAAACCTTTGGGAATATTGGAGTCCTTTTTTTTTTAAGGTAAGTGTATAGTAACAGTGACAGCATCTAGGCCCAGATGGAATGTCCATTCGAAGTCAATTTGCTCCTTAGCCCACAGGTACTGGCTCCCCACAAGCAAGAGGCCTCAAGTAAAGGAATGAGGGAAGAAAAAGGAGGTTCTTAGACTTGGGTATCATCATTTCTGGGGACAACTTTAACTGGACACCTAGATTTCTGACTCTAAGAACTTTATAGCAGATGCAGAAGAAACAAAAGACAAAGAACCCACGTTACCCAGTATTACCTAACCACAGAAGAAAATGATGGAAGCCCAGGTAATTTTGATTTGTTTCACCTTTCCTTTGTTTTCTTACAGTTTTGTAATTATGTGGGGGGAAAAATTATTTTAACTAAAAAAAAGTATAAATTGAGATAATTGGGTTTGGGGAAAATTAAACTCTAAATTCGAAATCAGGGCAAAGTGAGATCAGGAAAATATTGTTCCTAGGGGTCTTACTAAATGACTAATATTGGAACATAATGTGTGATGTGGTAGATTCTGTGGGTCACATTAGCTGTCACTTTGCCCCTAATATCTCTCTGAGTTCTGTGAGCTGTGCTAGCAAATGACTGAGCCCAAGGAGAAGGTTAAGGGAACCTTAGATTTGTGGTCAACTTGGATAGTAGATTTCCTGGAGATCCACTTCTTACGATTGGTGTCTGAAGTGTGGACAATCTTGTGGAAATGAGCCCTTAACCGGTGGAATCTGCACTACAGGCAGTGGGTACCAGAATTTCTTGGTGTGGAAAAACAAGTCTGGTCACAGAAGTGAGTTTTTTCCAGACAGGCACCTAACAAATTACTCAATGTGTTCATCGACTTGGAAGCTTGCCAAATCTATAGTTTTGGGAATTTTATAGAGGTTTCACTTGTTAGGCATCGTAGATAAAATCACTGGCCATTAGGCTTGAACTCAGTATCTAGCCCCTCTCATCTCACTGTAGGCTTTGGGGGTGAGGCTAAAAGTTCCAACCCTTTAATCAGTGTTTTATTCCTCTGGCAACCAGCCCCTATCCCAAAGCTACCAGCCTGTCTGCCCCCATGAGACATCTCATTAGCATACAAAAGATACTTACCACTCTGGAGAGTCTACCCTTAGGACCTATGTGTTCCCGGAACCAGGGACAAAGACCAACTTCTTTTTTTTTAAATCACATCACTGCTGTATACTTTTTTTTAGTCTCTGATGAGGCTGTAAGCCAGAGTCAAGTCTGATCTGAACACTCAAGTTGGGAAGCATGCACTTCTACGATCATTTACATGGTTGTAGGCAAAATTCATTTCCAGAAGGGCTGATCAAATGAGATCCTCAGTTTTGTTTTGTTTTGTTTTTGTATCCTCACTCGAGGACATTTTTACATTTATCTTCAGAGGGAGAGAGGGAGGAAGAAAGAGAGAAAGAAACATCGATGTGCAAGAGACACATTGACTGGTTGCCACCCGCACAACCCCAACTGGGGCTGGAGACAAACCAGAACTGAAGTACGTGCCCTTAACGGGAACTGAACCAGGACTCCCTGGTCCGCAGGCTGATGCTCTAACCTCTGAGTCAAACTGGCAGGGCAAGATCCTCAGTTTTTATGTGTCTGATTAGGTAGACCACTCTTAGTTTCTTGCCATATGAGCCTTCCTAACATGCAGCCTTGGTTCATCAAAGTCATCAAAGAACAGATTTTCATAGTAAGATGTGTGTGTATATATAGGCTAATGGTAAAAATGGCATCTTGTCACTTTTGCTGTGTTCTTTTTTTAGAAACAATTTGCTGTGTTCTTTTTTTAGAAACAATAGACCAGCCTATGCTCAAGGGAAATGTATTACACAGGACCAGTGGGACCACACTTGATAATTTTTGCTAATGCGGTGACTCAAGATAGCCATTATCTATGCCTGAAAGCAACCATGTGATTAGAGGGTTGTAGCTTTGAGCCATTTGATATCAGTCGGACCTAAAAGAAGGGGAAGGACCTAGAGATTGAGTCCAGCCATGTGGTCAGTGATTCAGTAAACCATGCACATATAATGAGGTCTCAAGAAAAACTCTGGATGCTGAAGTGTAGTTGAATTTCCTTGGTTGACAGTACTCTTACAGACTGTCGCACATGGCGCACATGGTGGCTAGGAAAAGACAATGCTGTCTGGCACTCCATGAAAAGAGTCATGTGTTTCAATATCAAATGGCCTTCGTGTCTGGCCCTTTTGATACAAAAACTAGAACTTCAAAGACAGTATTTCATTTTTTCCTGAGTTCTGTTGTTTCTGTTGTAGGTCATGTCTTTTGTGTCTGGATACTTTTAGAGTTTTTCTTGGCCTTTTGTGTATTATAGTTACACTCTGATGTGTCCAGGTATAGACATTTTATTTGGGATTTTTGAATATGAGATTACGAGTGTTTAATCAGTACTGAAATTTTTCAGGTTTTAGATCTTTGAATACTGCTTCTGCATACTCTTTTCTCTTTCAGAAACTATAAGTAGGCATACATTAGATCTTTTGACACTGTATTCATGTTTATTAACTCCTTCCTTATATTTTTCTCTTCTCACTCTGCTGCATTTTGTGTTATTTCTGCATTTATATATTCCAGGTCACTTCAGTGTATTGAATATACTGTTCATCTGTCCATTAATGTTTGATTGTTTATTATAAGGTTTTTTCCCCCCTAAATCTTCCTAATGGACATTAATGGTCTTTTTGGCTTTAGACATATCTTGTATAATTTGTTACTTCTTACACTTATTAAAAATAAAAATACGTCCTGGCCAGTTTGGCTTAGTGGTTAAAGCGTTGGCTTGCGGTCCGGAGAGACCCGAGTTCGGTTCTCCCTAAAGGCATGTACCTCGGTTGCGGTTTGTCCCCAGCCCTGTTTAGGTCGTGCGAGTGGCAGCCACTAGAGGTGTGCCTTTCACATTGATGTTTCTCTCTCCCTCCCTCCCACCCACTCTATCTGAACAAAAAATGGAAAAGTGTCCTCGGGTGAGGATAAATAAATAAATAAATAAAATTAAAAATAAAAATAAAAATACTTGTCCATCCGGTGTGGTTCAGCAGTAGAGCATCGACCTATTGCACCAGGAGGTTGTCAAGACACATGCCCAGGTTGTGGGCCTGATCCCCACTGGGGGGCATGCAGGAGGCAGCCAATTGATGTTCTCTCTCATTGATGTCTCTATTTCTCTCTCCCTCTCACTTCCTCTCTCTCTAGAATCAATAAAGGGAAAAAAAACCAAACACTTATATAAATTCGGGATGTGGAGTTTCATTGTGATGTAGGAATATTTTCTTTGTCCTGATATTTGTATATTTTTAGTATTTGGAAATAGGTGCTAAACTATATAAAAAGGAAGATAGTAATTTTACTTCTACTAAAATGTATTTGAGAGAAGTATATAGATGCAGGTAAAAACTACAACTTTCCTCATGCATCTTTCATATTAATAAAAGAGTTGATATCACATTAAATGGGACTGTGTTATTACAGGAATTGCTAACATTGGAGGATGTGGCTGTGGAGTTCAGTTGGGAGGAGTGGCAGCTCCTTGATCCTGCTCAGAAAGACCTGTATTGGAACGTGATGTTGGAGAACTATAACAACCTGGTTTCACTGGGTAAGGATAGCTCCCTGTGTCACTTAGAGGTGCCCTGTGACTTGGCCTTTACTCTAACTTGTGTGTGTGTGTGTGTGTCTTTATTGGTTTTTAGAGAGAGGAAGGGAGAGGGAGAGAGAGATAGAAGCATCTATGAGAGAGAACATCAATTGGCCACCTCCTGCATGCCCCCCACTGGGGATCAGGCCCACAACCTGGGCATGTGCCCTGATCAGGAATCGAACCGGTGACCTCTTGGTGCGTGGGTCGATGGTCAACACTGAGCCACACTAGCTGGGCCTTTAACATTTGATGAAAGCTTTGCAGTCACTGTGGTCATCTGACGAATCATATTTTCAGTCTCCCCGTCTGGCCCTAAACGAAGGGGTATAACCTCTTGTAACCTGAAAGAGAACTTTAACTTTGCGTGTGAGAAATTTTTTTGTCTATAAAATGTAGTATTTCCCATCTTCACATACTATATACCCCAAGTCACTGTATCTGGGTGTTCTATCATTTCTCATTAATTAGGGCATCACGAAGATGAAATCTATACAAGAAGTTGTCCAGGTGAGTGAGTGAGAACCAGCAAGGGAATGGCCCTGGAAGTCATATTCTAGTCATTAAGAGAAGGGGTCATAGCCCTGGCCGGTTTGGCTCAGCAGTTAGAGCGTCGGCCAGCGGTCTGGAAAGACCCGGGTTCGGTTCCCGCTGGGGGCATGTACCTCGGTTGCAGTTTGTCCCCAGCCCTGGTTGGGTCGTGTGGGTGGCAACCACTCGATGTGTCCCTTTCACGTTGATGTTTCTCTCTCTCTTTCTCCCTCCCACTCTATCTGAAGGAAATGTCGAAAAATGTCTTCGGGTGAGGATAAAAAAAAGAGAGAGAGAGAAGGGGTCACAGCTGTGAGGGTTTCTGAGGCTAGCTAAACAGCTCCTCTACATATGGATCTCCCGAGATGAGAACTCTTTTTCTTTGTGGGTGTTTTGCTTTAAATGTACTCCTTTTCTTTTCTTGGACCTGATACTTTTTCACTTTACATCTTTATGGGATGATGTGATCAACAATGATGAGCCAGTCCCCCCATTACATCATCTTTTAAACACTTTTATTCTAAGAAAGTCTCATGAAGCAATTGTTATTCTTTTTCCTAGGAATCGGGAAAGTTGACAGTCATCTGCAAAAGCACTCTCACAACCATATAGTTCTGAAGACCATGCAACAATGCAGTGAACAGAATGCATTGAGAAATACTATTCATCTAAGCAAAACAAGTATGACCATAATGCGTAATCATATGTTGGAATTATATGGGAAAGCTTTGAATTCAAATTTAATTAATCAGAAGAGAGGATATGAAGTGAAGAACCCAGTTGATTTCAATGGAAATGAGAAATCTTTTCTACATGGTAATCATGAACAGTTATACAATGGAATGGAAATCCCTGAAAGTGAAAAACATATCAGCACTGAATTCCAAGTCTTTAAGCATCAGAAGACTCATAAAATAGAGAAACCCCAAGCATACATCGAAGGTGAGAAAGCCTGCATCAGGATGTCTCAGCTCATTCACCATAAGGACAATCATATAGGAAAGATAACTCATGGCTGTGATTTATGGGGGAAATCTTCCAGAAATGTCATGTTCACTAAATGTCTGAAAACTCAAACACAAGACAAACTCTGTGTAACCAGTGAATACAGAAAGGGCTCTCCTGTGAAAAGTGGTCTCACCAGACATCAGCAAACCCATTCAGGAGAAAAATCCCATATATGCAGTGACTGTGGGAAAGGCTTCACCACGAAGTGCTATCTGGTTGTACATCAGCGAATACATAGTGGAGAGAAACCTTATGTATGCAGTGAGTGTGGGAAAGGCTTCGCCATGAAGCGCTGTCTAGTTGTGCATCAGAGAATACATACTGGAGAGAAACCTTATGTATGCAGTGAATGTGGGAAAGGCTTCACCATGAAGCGCTGTTTGGTTGTACATCAGCGAATACATACTGGAGAGAAACCTTATGTATGCAACGAATGTGGGAAAGGCTTCACCATGAAGAACCGTCTCATTGTGCATCAGAGAAATCACACAGGAGAGAAACCCTATAGATGTGATGAGTGTGGAAAAGGCTTCACTGAGAGGTGTAGTCTCATTGTTCATCGGCGATCTCATACAGGGGAAAAATATATATGCAGTGAGTGTGGAAAAGGCTTCAATGTAAAGCGTGAGCTCACTATACATCAGCAAACTCATACAGGAGAGAAATCACATATATGTGATAAATGTGGAAAAGGCTACATGAGAAAGCGCTCTCTCATTATACATCAGCGAACTCACACAGGAGAAAAACCCTATGAATGCAATGAGTGTGGGAAGGCCTTCAGTCGGAAGACATGCCTCATACAACATGAGAGATGTCACACAGGAAAGACACCCTTTGTATGTAGTGAGTGTGGAAAACAATATTCTAACAAATATGGTCTCATTACCCATCAGAGAAGTCACACAGGAGAGAAACCCTATGAGTGCAAGGAATGTGGGAAAGCCTTCGCCGCAAGGTCAGTCCTCAATGTCCATCAAAGAACTCATACAGGAGAGAGACCCTATGGATGCAGCATGTGTGAGAAAGCCTTCTTCCAATTGTCACACCTTGTTAAACATCAGAAAATGCACACAAAAGATATGGGTGAATTATTATCAAGTTCCAGACCTCACTAAAAACATCAGTGTTCCTAGCAGATTGGAATGCAAACATGGCTCTACCTGTTGTCAAATGTGTTCCCTGAAACGCAGGATTTACCCAGGAGATAAAACCGATGAACACAGTGGCTGCGGTAGTGCCTTTAGTGATCCTTACCTCACATTTTCTGTGAAAACATGTTGGAAAAACTTGGGTACAAATTTTGAAGATGCCTTTCCAACTTCATTATATGTCTCAGCAAAACTTTCTAGTCCCGATATTATGTCTGAAGGTATATTGAGACAAATTCTGAGAATGCAAAGACTAAGAAAGCCTTTCGTAAGAAGATAGACTTTATTATCAGGGACCATCAGATCATCAGCATGTTCATTGTTCATAGAAATGCAAAAACAAACAAACAATAAAACCAAAGAAATAAGGTAACCACGGGAAAGCCTCTACCTAGAAAGAAGGCCTCCGTGAGAGTCAGAATTCACACTGGAGAAAAACTTTAAGAGGACAGTATATATTTAACAGAATATCATTGATACATTCTATCCCATTGTTTTTCTGGAAATCATACAGAAGTTAACCTTTATAAAAATGCTAAATTTAGAGCACTTTTAGCCAAATATCAGAGAATTTATATTCTCTGAAGGGAAGAAGTTCTCTGAAAAGGGATAATGTTTGAGTGCTTTTTGTTTAAAGTCTAACTTCATTATACATCAGATAATTTACCTGCTGTGCATCTTCAGGTAATAATTGGAACCTCCTTTCTAGTTGCCTTGTCACTAATTCCATAGTTTAAAAATTAGTCTGCTTTCCTCATTCCTGATTAATTTGTATTGTTATATACAATACAGGAGTGTTCTATGATCACCCCATATTATGTGATTAGCTCTCAACTTTCTTTGGCTCGAAATTTAACTGTAAATTTATCATACAGTAATAGTTTAAAAGGAAACAATCTTTTTTAAGTTATAAATATAACACATATTTGTACTTGCCTAACCAAGTTTATAAATATGACCAAATATTTTATAAAACCACCTTCAAAGTTATTTTTATAGAATGTTTAATTTGAAATTATTTTAACTTACAAGAAATTTCAAAATAGCCCAGAGACGTTCCTAGTATTCTTTACCCAACTACTCCCAATAAAAACATCTTATAAAACCATATTTTATTGAATCCAGGAAAATGACATTGGCAGTATGCTATTTAAAAAACTCCTAACCTTATTTGAATTTGATTAGCTTTTATGTGTGTGTTTTTTAAGTTTGTAATTCTAAGCTTTATTACCTTATATAGAGTCATACAGCCACAACCACGATGGAAAATTGCTCCATCAACAGACTCCCTCATCCTACCTTTTTTTCGGTTCATGCCCGCTTTCCAAATCTACCTCTGGCAACCACTCACCTGTTTTCCATTAGTATAATTTTGTCATTTCATGAATGTTATAAAAGTCATTTTATAACTGGATTTATTACACTTTACATAAGTAAACTGTATTTATTTATACAAATTTATATTTTATTAATAGGGACCATGTTAAGTTTTCATGTTTTTGTCACGTGGCAGATTGCTCTTAGGAATTGTTTGAGTTGAGAATAGTTTTAATAGTTTTCTTTTTATTAGTCAGTAGTTTATTTACTGGAAGTCTCAGTTTGCTTAGCCATTCACTCTTGAAAGAGATTTGTATTGTTTTCTGGTTTCAACTGTTATAAATAATAATGATGCTGTGAAACCTGCATACAGGGTTTTGTGTGAATGTAAATGTCTATTCCTGTACAATAAATATGCAGTTGATAATTGTTGGGATACACGGTAAGTTAAGTTTCGCTTTGTAAGAAATTGCCAAATTCTTTTCCAGAATGGTTATACTATTTTACATTCTCACCAGCAGTGTGTGAAGTCTTATTCCACATCATCTCCAGCACTTGGTATTTTCAGTGTATTTTATTTTAGCCATTCTACTAGCAACATATGTAATATGTAATTGCTTTTCGTCCTCCTCAGCACTTGGTATTGTCATTATATTTTACATAGGTATGTAATAGTATCTGATCTTGAACTTAACTGCATTTGCCTAATGGCTAATGATGGCCAACACATTTTTGTTGTTGTTGAAAGTATTACAGATGTCCCCCTTTTTTCCCCATTGGCCCACTCCTACCCACTGGTCAACACTTTATTGTTGTTTTTGTTGTTGTTATTTTTGGAGTTATTTATCCTATAAGTGGGAAATTTGTACCTTTTGACTGCCTTCACCCATTTGCATCCCCCCACCCCTCAGCTTCTGGCATCCAGCATCTGTTCTCCATGAGTTTGGTTTGTTATGGATTCTACATATAAGTGAGATCATACACTTATATGTGTATTTGTCTTTCTCTGACTTATCCCATTTAGCATAATGCCCTCAAGGTTCATTCAGATATCCTTTCTCATGGCTGAATAATATTCTTTTGTCTATACATAGGTATATTTATTATCTCACATGTATTATATACATAACATACTTAGGTTGTTTCCCTGTCTATTGAAAATAGTACTTTAATGAACATGGGGGTGCCTATATATTTTCAAGATAGTTATTTTTTAGAGGAAGGGAGAGAAAGAGAGAAACATCATGTGAGAGTGATACATCAGTCAGCTGCCTCCTGCAAGCCCCCTACTAGGGATCGAGCCCACAACCCTGGCATGTGCCATGACTGGGAATTGAACTGGGACCTCTCAGTCTATGGGATGACACTCAATTCACTGAGCCGCACCAGCCGGGCTCAAGATAGTTATTTTGTTTCCTTAATACCATATGTGGAATTGCTGGGTGGATCTTTTTAAATTTTTTTTGAGGAATCTTTGTACTGTTTCCCATAGTTGCTGCACAAATGTCCAATTTTTTTTTATGTCTGCATACTGTTTATAAAGAGGCATCTCATAATTTATTTAACAAATCACCTGCTGTACATTCATATCCATATTACTTACCTGTGACTGCATCACAAACCTGTACCTCTCTAAAACTTAATGTCTAGAGACAACATTTATTAATGTTTTTTGTGGGCTGAGGGTTGGATTGCCTGGTGTGGGTTGTCTCAAATGGCTCTGCATGGTCTAGATTAGTGGTTTTCAACCTTCCTAATGCTGTGACCTTTAATATAGTTCCTCATGTTGTGGTGACCCGCAATCATAAAATTATTTTTGTTGCTAATAACTGTAATTTTGCTACTGTTATGTCTTAGGCGACCCCTGTGAAAGGGTTGTTCGACCCCCCAAAGGGGTCACGACCCACAGGTTGAGAACCACTGGTCTAGATGGTTTCTTTTTTTCCCTCCACCTATTTGAGCCTCCATTAGAATGGATGGCTGTCATTCTGCGAGAGGCTACTCTGGTTTCTATTAGTGTGTTAGAAGAGCTCCAAGACACAAACGGAACATGTGTCGGTGAGCAAACCTACTTCTGTCCTCTGCGTCACTCTTGTCATTGTCCCATCAGACACCTTGGTCAAAGTACTACGCGAGGACATTATCCAAAGGTGTGAATACAGAGATGCAAGAATAGTTTATGTAGCAATCCCAAGATTATTTATTTTCTTAAACTATTAAAATTCATGCCATAAATATCCTAGTACCTGTTTGTTCTCAAAAAGATAATTTCTACTGAATCAATTATTTAAATTGATTGGTGGCTCTAAGAGAATGACATTTAAATTGGATAATTTCTGACCATACTCCCAAAACATTTAAATAATCTATATACTTTAGACTGAATCCTGTCCTTGTAAAAACACCAAAATTGCCCTGGCCAGTTTTGCTCAGTGGTTAGAGCTTTGGCCTGCGGACCAGAGAGACCCGGGTTCGGTTCCTGCTAAGGTAATGTACCTCGATTGCAGTTTGTCCCCGGCCCTGGTTGGGTTGTGCGGGTGGCAGCCACTCCATGTGTCCCTTTCACGTCTCTCTTTCTCTCTCTTCCTCTCTCTCCCTCCCACTCTATCTAAACAGAGGAAGGAAAGATGTCAAGTGAGGATTTTTAAAAAAAAAATTGTCATATTTATTGAGTGTAGTGTCCATTTTTTTGAAATTCTAAAAACAAGCCTGACCCAGGCCGTTTTTCTCAGTGGTTAGAGCGTCAGCCCTCGGACCAGCAAGACCCGGGTTCACTAATGACACGTACCTCAGTTGCAGTTTGTTCCCAGCCCCAGTTGGGGTCGTGTGAGTGGCAAACACGTGTCTCTCACATCAGTGTTTCTCTCCCTCTCTATCTGAAGATAATTGCAAAAATGTCTCCAGGTGAGGATAAAATAAAAAAAGCCTGATAACATCTCCATTCAAAGCCATGTGTGGTGGACAACACTATACAGATAAGAAAAAATAAGACTTAAGAGGCAGCATAATATAACACATTACCCTATAAACTGCCACTCTGAATATTAGTCATCATTCAATCTTTATGAATCTTAAGAGTTAAAATTTCTTTGTTTTATGTTTACTTTGCACTAATTTAAATATTACTAAAGACTGGCATTTAAAATTTTTTGTGGCCCTGGCCGGTCTTGCTCAGTGGTTGGAGCATCAGCCTGCGGTCCAGAGAGGCCTGGGTTCAGTTTCCGCTAGGGGAATGTACCAAAAAAAAAAAAAATTATGATTATTTGTTATTTCTAAAAATAAGTGGACTAATGCCCGGCTGCTGTGGCTCAGTGGTTGAGCGTCCACCCATGCACCAAGAAGTTGCCAGTTGGATTCCTGGTCAGGGCACATACCCAGATTGTGGGCCTAATCCCATTGGGAGGCATGCAGAAGGCGGCCAGTCAATGTTCTCTCTCATCTATGTTTCTCTCTTTCTCTTTGTCCCTTTCTCCCTCCCGCTCTATCTGAAGATAAATGCAAAAAATGTCCTCGGGAGAGAATTTAAAAAAAAAAAAATTTTTTTAAGAAAAAACAATAAAAAAAGCAATGGATTGTAAGGTAATATTTTAATTCTGGTTGTGCCTTTCTCATTGGCTCCAGACCTTTACTGGCCTCAATTTTAGTGGCACTAAACTTTGAGGCCTCCATCCCAATGACAAATTCAGCTCTTACAACTGCTCTTTTTCCTTGGTTGGTGATGGCCAGCCTCTCACAGTACCAGTTTCTCGAAATCTTTTTCTGTTCAGAAAAACCACTTCCTGCAAGAAATTGTCCACTAGGAGCTTCCTGTTGGTGTACATTTACCAGATGTATGATCTTTTTGCAGGATTTTATTCTCTGCTGCTATAGGAACTACTGAGCCCAAGACCCTTTGAAAACTCGGTTTTGTTTTGTTTTTTCATTTATTGATCTTAGAGAGAGGAAGGGAGAGGGAGAAAAGTATAAAAACATGGATGAGGCAGAAAATCGATTGGTTGCCTCCTGCATGCCCCCCACCACTGGAGATTAGCCCAAAACCTTGGTATATGCCCTGACCAGCAATCCAACTGGTGACTTCTTGGTGCATGTGTTCCCCGCTCAACCACCCCGCTCAACCACTGGGCCACACCTGCGGGGCAGAAACTTGTTTTTAAAAAAAAAGTTGCACAAACTGTAAAATAGAAGCTTTGGGCATAAAAGCTCCAGTCAAACCCTGCCCGGTGTGGCTCCTTGGGCTGCAGCATCTTCCAGTGCACCAGGAAGGTCATCAATTGGATTCCTAGTGAGGGCACGTACCCAAGTTTCCCCCATCCCTTCGGGGCACACAGCAGGCGCCGAACAATGGAGCTCTCTTCTCTTTCTCCCTTGAAAAACAAACAAAAAACGCTGCAATCATAGGATTTTTTTTTTACCAGACTGCCCAGCGCAATTTAGCTCACTTTTTGTTTGCCTCGCCAAGCTAAAGTCTCTGCAAAGATCCCCCATTTCCCCAAGAGTCAAAGTGCCAGGAAACGAGATAAAATTCAGGAGCCTCTCACCTTCCAGCGCCCCCTGTACGGCGTCAGGTCTCCCAACATGGCGGCCCCCGAGGCGGCGCCGGCGGCTGCGCGCGGACATATTGCCTCGGAGGGAATGCGGTCTTCGCGCGCGTTTCTTTAAAGGCTTC